CATCCAGTCTGCTGGGTTTTCTCCTAAATCTGGTTGAAGTCAGCCTTCAGGGCAGAGTAAACTAATCTCGGATTTCACCCAGGAAACCACAAACCGAATTCAGAGACTGAATCTAGGCTGCCACCTGGTGGTCATTAGAAATATATGCGTTCGAAGAGTTCTGTGAGCCGGTTTGCAGGATGCAGTCAGGACAGGATTTCGGCCTGCAGCCTCCTCTGATCCATCTGTGGGTTATAAAAATCCATTTCATGGATCGCGTTGAGACTGCAATTAAGACAGATTCGTTGTTTTTCACAGAATATTCATGCAATAAAAGAGAGCTATTATTAGAAACATAAAATAGTATACTGAAATCTTAAAGACCAATTATTTCCATTTTCCCATTTTATAGTTAAGGAACATGAAATCCAGGAGGGGTGCAGAGCAAGTCCTAAAAAACAGACTCTTTGACCCCGCAGTCCTTTAGCAAATGTAGGTCAGAAGAAGCAAGTTCATTATGAGCATGACAAAATCTATGATAGGTAAACATAGAGTGCTTTGAGTGGTTTAAATCTTTCATCCCGTCTTCTTATCTGCCTTATCTTCCCATCCTCTCATCTGCCTTCTGAGGTAGGCTGCCAGCAGCTAGCTCCAAGTGGGTAAGGGCAGGAGGGGACTCCAGAGCGGGAGGGAGGAGGAGGATGGTTGCAACAGGGGCTACTGCCTGGGGAAGGGTGCCACGTTTCCTCCAATGAGGTAGACCAGAGCAATCTGGGTGGTTGTGCTTCACTTTCACTTTCTCTTGTGTATGAATCTCTTCCTTTCAGATTCTCCCTCTGTGCTTCCGTCTGGTTCAGTGTCTCTTCTTTCTTCTTCTCCACCTCTTCCTCCTTTTCTTTGAAACTAAAAAAGGGATGTCTCCTTGGCACCAAGACTGCTGCACGGACCAAGGGCTGGGGTTAACACATACATCATTTCCCCTCTGCAGCTCTCCCTCTGACCAGCTGATGACAGTTAGCCCACTTCCTCTGATTAACTGACACAGCACTGATGCAGCATGGTAACGTCTTTCCAGAAATCCTGGTTTGTTCTCCAGTCCCTCACTGGGTTCCACACCACACCCTCGCTTTACCCGCCAGAGTCTCTAGTTCACTGCGACTCGGGAACAGTCTGACTTTGGTGGGATGGCCTCGGAGCTTCAGGGCTTCCCTTCTGGGGAGATGAGAGAACAATACGGGCTTAGAAAAGAGCCACCCGTCCCTCCAATCTATTCACCTCCTGGCCCATCTCAGTGTAACCCGAGTGCTCATGCATGGGCTCATGTTCATGAGTATGGGCACTTACCTCTGTAAGTGCCCATACTCACCCAACATTTTTTTCCCCTTACACCAAATCTACAGCAACCACCAAATTCTACCTGCTGTCCTGGCTTTTAATGCCTATCCTCTTAAAGATGTTAGACTATCGGTCCAAAGACCCCAGTTTTAAATATTCCTCAAATCCATGGGGTCACTAACCTCCTGGCACTTATTTCATAGCTCCTCCAAGCTTCAACCCAAGTTAAATGATTTTCTTAAAAGGGAAACTTATTTATTTACTTATATAGAACATGTGTGCATGAGCAGGCATGAAGGGGTAGAGGGAGAGGGAGAGAGAGAACCTTAAGCAGGCTCCACGCTCAGCGCAGAGCCCAACACAGGGCTCAATTTCAGTGACCCCAAGATCATGACCTAAGCTGAAATCAAGAGTTGGACGCTCAACCAGGTGCTCCCTTAAATATTTTTTATTCAAAAAAATTATATTGTTTTTCTGTCATCTCCTCTTTCTTTTCCCGCCACCAATGCTATCATTGTCATGAGTGTCGTGAATGATCCGTACCAGGTACCCGGTATAGAGGGGAGCCCAACAGAGGCCCTCTTTTCTTCTAGACAGGGAGACCAAGATGAAAATCTTTCCACACTTCTTATCCCTCGAGTCCGTGGAGCCCCAAAAGAACCCTGCCTCTCATCCTCCTACATCCTCAGATCCTTCCTCCTCCACTGCACATACACTCCATACTATGGTCCCCAGGCTCTTTGCTCTTCAATAGGCTTGTAAAGCACTGAACATTCACTGGATGAGTCCCACTTGAGACCTTAATGAGGTGCTGTGCTTCTAAGTTGACAGGCTTGATCAAAAGAAAGATAGATCACAGCTCATAGGACAGTCAAACAATCTTACGCTCAAACCATCTGAGTATGATGAAAGACATGAGTGTCACTATTTAATCTAGAGAAGACAGAACTGTAGTGTCTTTGGTGGAGGAAAACTTTCTCAAAAGTAATTTCGTTGGGACGGTCCTCAAAAAAAAAAAAAATACACTAATACGTTTGGGAACTACAAACTCTCCCCTTCTAGGGAGTCACATTCTTATGAGCTTATTAAAAGCTTCAAGAAGTTGTGTCTAAAAATCACGTTTGTCTCTTGTTGACCATATGTTTCCCCAAATTATTTAATCAGACTGGAGAGTGCACCCTCTAAGGCAGAGCATTTTACATTGTGTCTCTTCATATGCCCCTGCACCTCGCTTCTTTCTGGCACCACCCAATAAAATGCAACTTGGATAGAATTTTAATTTCAGGTCTCTGAAGGAGTACTCTCCACAGAGGCCTAGGACAGACTGCTCCCCTGGGCTGCAGGACTACAAACAAGGAAGCCATAGCAAGACAGAAGGAAGGACTTTCCTGCAACTGAGTTGAGTGATTCAACAGGAAGGGTGTGTGAGGAAAGTTTGCAAATCCCATTTCTTGGAATCCTGAACTCCCAGAACACAGAAGCAAAGAGAAGGAGATGACCTTGTTGGACTCTTTTCTGTCTGGAGAAAGTCTAGAAAACCCTCCATTAGTTGAACCACAGCCTTCCTTCCTACAAATCTATCTGCTATTCCCACTTTCGAGCCTTTGGTATGGCAAGGAGAAAAATTCACTCAAACTCCCACATCAGCAATGTGAAGGAACCAGACTCAGTGAAGAATGGATGTTTGCAAAGCCTCACTCGCATCCGAGAAAGGAGAAAGGCTGAGGACTGAAATAAAAGCAGGTCACTCGCAGCTGCACCTGGGTGGAGGGGCCCAGCTGCTTGGCCCCAAGCAGGGCTGGGAGCTGCAGCTTCTCTGTCACAGGACGGCCTCTCTGAGCAGCTGTCTAGGCTCCGTGGCTGGGATCTGGCTGGGCCAGCTGCCAGTGGAGTGCTCCATCCTGCAGCCTCAGAACCCACTCCCAGCTCTAGCTCAGCTGGGCCACTCGGAAACCATTTTTACCTCTCAGTGCTCTCCAGTTACCTGTCTGGGGGATAATATCATTCACAAGCAATTTTTACTTGGCTTTGCCATAGACAATGGTTGTTTTCTACTGCATCCTCTATTACCCGCAGGATGATTTCTTACCAACGGTCTGTCACTTAATATTTTCATTTTCCACAATAAACCACGTGTAGCCACATGAGAGAAAAGAACAATAATGGCTGCAGAGGTCATAGATTCCTAAAGCCAAGAGAATCTTTGAAAATATTTCTGTATTTGTCAGAAGAGGAAACTGATGTCCATGAAACTACGTAACAACCACAAGGTTAATGTTAAAGTGGAGTGTCCCTTCTACTCCCAGTTCAATGTTTATACTGAATTCCTTAATGCCCAAGGGAGAGGGCTCCCACAGGGACACACAGGCCATGTGACAAGGCGCTGTACAGCCAAATCGCACAGGCAGTAAGTTGAGTCCTGAAGATGTTAATTCCTATGCACCGAACTACAGAGCCACCTAATGGCAGAGTCTGATGCTGGCGCCCACTCTCCTAACCATGACACTACCAATATTGATCAAAATGTTAGCATTTTAGACAGAACCACTAATGATTCCTGTGCTGACAAGCCCTGTATCTTCAGAGACATTTAGCATCTTTGGCCCTCAGACGCTAACTACCAGGAGCAGCTTGACGGTCACTCTGAAAATTAAAATGCCATTCCGTATTTACAAACTTTCTGTAGAGGTGCTCCTCTCTAGACCCCAACTGTTAAGGAAAATATTGCATTTCAGAAACTTAGCGCTAAAAAGAATTTTAAAGAGCTCCACTGGTTTAGTTGTTTTCATTGTACAGCAGGTGTTGGAGAAGTGGGGAGACAGCTGATCACCAATGCTAAATGTTAGCCAGGAGTGACAGTGATTGAGGGTTGAGGAAAATTTTTCAGAGTTTAAAAAAACTTCTTGGAACTGAAACCCAATAAACTGGAGACATCTCCAGGTTGTGACAGAGTTTTTAAAAATTCAGCTTTAAAAGTTCCTTGGGAAAGCTGTCATTTATTGGGAAATGGGAAAGTCATTTATTTAGAAATTGGGAAATGGGAAAGTCATTTATTTAGAAAGAAAGAAAGGGAGAAGAGAGAAAGAGAAAGAAGGAAAGAGAGAGAGAGAGAGAGAGAGAAAGAAAGAAAGAGAGAAAGAATTTAAAGTGGTTTAAACATTTTTTTAAAAGGGCTAATAAGTCAACCCCAAAGGAACTTGTCCACGATGTCATGCATATTTAAAAACAAACTTCTGTAGAATTTACCAGAGTGTGAAAGAGGTATGCAAACTCATCCATTTTGCTCAGAACTGTCTCAAGTGTGTGATAGGGCTGCGAGCATTTTGTCTGAGACAAATGTGAGTTAACCTTTAGACACCCCTCCTCCTGGGGACAGAAAGCTTTATCACACAGAGATTCCAGTAACATGGTAGGAAGACTCCTACACATGCATTGTTAAATGGGAGGTACCTTTCCCTTAATAGGAAAAGACCTTTCATTTTACAAAGACTAAGGCAGCCCTCTGACAGGAAGGGCTCTTTCGTGGTGAGCTCAGTGACTTCAGATCTTTTGTTCTTCAGTCTCCTGAGCTAGGGCAAAGGATGTGGCTGGGGTAGGAGGTGGAGACTATACATGTGTGTGTGTGAGTGTGTGTGTTCTCACTTCCGCTTCCCCTTTCTGAGCTGGCAACAGAAGTTTAATGAGGACAGAGAGAAAGGTACAACATGCAATATGATACTCTGTCACTGTCCTCACTTAGATCCCGATACCTGGGAAGGGCTTCGCCCGGCTTCGCTAACCTCTCTGCCTCAAACTTTGCTCCCTACCTGCGGACAGGTGAGTATAACTTCCACCTCAATTTTAAGACTATACTGATTTGGGATGGTGCTGGGAGAGAGGAGAAAACAGGAGAGAAATCAGGTTGCCAAGAAAAGGGAAAAAATAGGAGAAAATCTTCCACATCCCTGACTTCAGTCTTAAAAAATTCATCACTGTGTCTCTCAGAGCAAAAAGGACCCTTTACTTTTTTTTTTCCTTCTGCCTACTACAGGAGAGGTACTCTATATAGGGTCACAAAACATGGGTTCTTTTGATGGTCTGAATTACTATTTAGGAATGTTTCACTTTTCTCCAGTAGGACATTCCTCCGTGTGTCTTGCTATATACTCCCTTACCTGTAATTTCAAACCGATTCTAACTTTGAAAGTTTTTCTCAAGGAGTAAAGTTTCCCACTTCACTGCAGGTCCCATTCTAGTGCTCGTAACTGTGAACTAGTGGGAATACCTTGCCTAAATCAGTGCTGCTTTGTACCTACTCTCCTCCGAAGCTGCAGAAGAAAGCTGACGAGGAGATAAGCTACAGAAAGATATGCTGGGAGTAGATATGAGGGAGAAGTCACGCAATTGGACAGTGCCAGGCCAATTTAACCGGAAGGCTCAAGAGGGACAAGCACATGTGGGGGTTGTTTCTCAGGCTGTACCTCTCAGAGATGGATATAAGGATACATTGACCACTTCATGACTTACATCATCTCAGGTGGGGAAGGATCTGTGTTCCTCCAACATCCTTTGTCTTAGTGGCAGCCGGGCTGAGAATGTCACCACCTACGTGACTTTTGGGGAAGGTAGAGGAATGGAAAGATCCTCCACACTGGGGCTTTCCCAGGCCCCTGCTGTGCAACTGAGCTTTCCATTGGGTGGAGAAGAGACAGGTCCCCGACACAGAACAGCAACAAGATAAAAGAGCCCCCAGAAATGGTTTGATAAAGATCATGAGGATTTATAAATACCAGTGACTCTGTCTATCACAAATGTCTGCCTGTCTAGGCAAGGGGACTTCTTAGACAGTATGTGGCAGATGCTGAGGTTAGCAGATTGGAGGTTGGAGGCTTTCAGCTTGTGTGTCCAAGCTGCAGGTTAACAGTTCTTAGGCTTGAGGGATCGGAGCTGAAAATCTGGTATGAGTCTCCTGTAACAGGAAGCATTACTAGGAGGAGAGTAGGCCGGGTTTATCATGTATCTCTACTAGATTATTATCAGAAAGAACAAGCAGAAGATAGAACAAGAGGGATAGAAAGAGATCAAACAAATGATTTATTCACAGGCACTCCAGGGAGTTTAGAAACTCTTTACAGCCCTACTGATAGCTGTTCCTCATAACTCCCCTGGTCCCTGAAAGGGAGATGAAACCCTGCGATTAAGCATTACATAGTGGCCCTGGGAGTCAACACAGTCATTTTTAGTTCAGGGTTTCTAATAGAGAATGACTCATATTCTAATAGAGAATGGAGAGGAAGTTTGGTCCCAGTTTAAATCATGACTCATGGGTCCACCCTGGGCTACAGTAAGGGAAAAAGATCCAGCAGTGATTGTCACTTGATAATTGGCAACTATTCTGCTTTCCACCTAAAGGACAAAAGTAAAGTGGGTATCCCAGTACCCATGGTACTTTTTACCCTCCCCACACCCAATCCCAATACAGAAAGGCCTAAACACAGATTCTGAGAAGAAGGGGTGTAGATCATTGTGAAAGAAAAAGAGAGGAGAATTAAAATGAGCACATGAGAGAAAGAGCTGCATTCCCATAGAAACAGGACCAAAGAATTGAAGACATGGATTCACAGAACTAAGAAATCCACTCACCCTCACTCCTGTCTCCAGACCAAGCCATCTGCAAACCAGGACAGGTAAACGGAGGTTTCTTCATCTTGCTGTCTTTGTAGCCCATCCAGGTGAAAAAATTTAGTGTCTCACAGCACTGAGAGCACAGGATTACTCTTTTCCAAATGTATAACTTTAATGTTTCCCTGGTACTTTATAAGCCTTCCATAAAACTCATTCACACTGTGGAGCTGGGCATAGGGAAGGAAAGGAAGGAGAGAGAAATAGGTTTTAGATGGTCATTTTTCAGTATTTATTCAGCTGAAATTATTTATGGGAGAAAGACGGTAGGGGAGGGGGGGTAAAATAGTTATATTCATTCATTGAAATTTTTCTTTATATTATTTATCAAATAACATCTCCCTTTTTCCCTGAAATAGATTGAACTGCTGCTTTAGATCATAGGAGTCTCAGAATGCTCAGATGCTATACTCAGGGGAGTTTTTGTTCTGAAGATCTTCCCAACTGCAGTGACATGGAAGAGAACTAGAAATTAGGAATATATTTCCTATCTATGCAGGAATGTGAGACCATATTGCAGGTTGGGGGTGTGTGTCGAATGGGGTGCTGTCACCCTGGCCTGAGATGGAGGTTGTCCTATCTACAGCAAAATGGCTGTCCTGGGATTTCCCAGCCCTTTGCAAGCGTGGTGATATGTGCATATCTTGGCTGTAAATGTGGATAAAATGCAGAAGGTCTTGTGGGCCCCATCATGGAAACTCTGTTTCCTTCTTATCTCCTCCCACGCTTGTTTTCACTCTCAGTCCCAGTTTACAGGCCCTGTTTGGGCATAGGCACAATATGGAAAGAAGAGAAGAGAAATCTGTCTGATATGTGTTCCTGGGAGGAGGCCCAGCCGGAGTGGAAACCAGAGTGGCATGAGGAAGGTGGTGTGATGTAAAGGAAAAAGCATAGACCTGGGGCTCAGATCTTGCGAGTTTCAGTCCCATTTATAACCTTAATATTTATGTGATTTCAGATAAGCCTCCCCTTCTCCCTCTCTCTCTCTCTCTTTTCTCACTTTCTCTCTCCCAACCCTTTTTCTTTTTCAAAATGACTGACCAGGATTAGATGATCTCTCCGATCCCTTTGGGCATGAAGTAAGAAGGAAGGAACTACTTACTGTTTATGTTTTCTCTCTGCTCAGCAGCCATCTGGATTTGATACCCACTGTTGTATGCCACTGCTCACTCCTTCTTCTTTCTTATTCCTGAAAGTGTTCTGACTTTGGTGAATGGTTTAGACTGAGGGAAGATTAATAATAATAATTGTTATCGTTTAATCAGCACTTCCTTTATATATCAGGTACCTAATATCCATTACCTGATATTAGCCCCCAGTAGCCCAACAAGTTGTGTGTTACCTGTTTCATATACAAAGAAACTTAGGTTTAGAGGGGACAGATGATTTTAGCAAGGATACACATACAGTAACTAGATAGAACTGTGATTTTAAACAAAGCGAACTCTGATCCCAAGGCCCTTGCTCTTTCTTTACAGGCCCTCTCTTTTCCTCCCCAAGAGTTGGCCATCTTCACTGGGCCCCTTAAAAATATCCCCATGAGACACCTGTAAGCAGAGCTGATATTTGGCAGGTACAAATTGGTAGACCCATAATGACTGTTAAAATATTTCCATGCCAATTTATGATAAATATCAATTGCCCCAAGTCCAGTGAGTGCCCATGACCAACTTGACTATCCCAGCTCTCCCCACAAGTTTCCCCAGACCAATGCCAGAAACTCAATGCTATATACTTGCAGGACCCAGCTACGGGGCTGTGACTGGTGTCAACTCGGATTGGTCTGTGTTACTCTATAACCATCCTTAAATGTTCTGAATGGCACAGCAATCCGAGAGCAATGTGGAATCCCAGGCAGACTTTTTCCTCTCAACTGGAACCTTGTTGGACCTGCTGCTGAACTGACAGGTGAGCCTGACAAAAGCAAAATTGCTTCGTAACCTAGTCGGGAGTTAGGAAGGAAAACTATGCTAATAACCAAAAAAAGCAACATTTCCTTCACTAAGTTTGACACAAAACCGAGCATGAATTAATTTCGGTTTTTGCTGTCTCTTCTATATGAGGCTCTAAAGTGGAGACTTTCTGTAGCATGTGAAATGCAGAATTCACTGAAATAGTTTCTCCTTTCTTTTATCTCAAATTACGTGTACCACTGATACTTGGGTAGAGATATTAGTTTATTTTCTTATTCTATAATTAATGGAAAGACCATATAACTAGAATCAGACCAACCCAAGTTTAATTCTCAACATTATAAGATCCTAATTATATGACCGTGGATAAGTCACATATGTCCCTGAGCTTCACATAATAATAGTTAGCTCAAAGGTGATTGTCAGGATTAAGTGAGATAGTTTATAAGAAGGTTTTATGGATAAATATAAGGTACTCTGTACATCCCAGTAATTTTAGCACCTATCACTTTGGCACAAGTTACTATATGGGGAATCTCTGACTACATCCCTCCTGCTACTACACTTGCTACTTCTGCTGACAATTTTTGTTAGAAGATACTCTTTTCAAAGCTCTTAACTCCTGAATCTTCTTTTTTTTATTTTTTTAACATCTTAATTTTATTTTTTTTCAGTGTTCCAAGATTCATTGTTTATGTACCACACGCAGTGCTCCATGCAATATGTGCCCTCTTCTTTTGTCTAACTTCGATCCTGTCAGCTGAAAAACTTTGCTTTGAGCTATAACATCCTCGAAACAAAAATAATTCCCTCCTGCTCTATTTGTTGTAGTCAGATTCCAGAACATTGGCCAGATTGTGGAGAAATATTAAGGGAGCAAGCCTCTAGAGAGATGTAGAAAAGAGGAAAGGACAAGGGGCTGAAAATGAGAGCAAAGGGAAAATACGGCTTTTAAAGAGTGACTCAGGCAAATAGCAATAGAATCAGTGTGGAATTTTTTGGGCTGAGGAGCAGGCAGTTAGTAGGAACATCAGAGAAAAAATACCAGCAGGCTAGGACTTCCTTCCTCACAGGAGTTAGATTAAATAAAATACCAAATACAAATAGATTGAATACAATAAACCAGTATCACGAAAATGGCCCTCAGATTCCAGAGGGAACTTCTGACCAAGAAGTGGAAACTTCGAATGGAAAATTGTAGGAAAATATTTTTTAAATAAAGAAGAATTTGATAGTTTAAGCTTTATAAAATTCGGTGTGGCTCCTGTGTTCCATCAACAAAAGATCAGCATGACTATGCCCCAAGACTCTCTGCTCTTCACCACAAGGTATAAAAATACATATACATTAGGATTTGTGACCTATGGAGAGTCGGGAGCCCCTGTCCCATATCATGTACTAATGAGGTTAGTTATTCAGCATCGGTATGATTCTTGCTCCTCTGTAGGTACAGCATTTGCTGAGCCTCTCCTGCAATAGCTACCCTGCTGGATCCTGAGATGGGGCTTGGGGGAAGGGTTACCAAGAAGGGGGCATGACAACGAGATGGGTGACCTCTTCTCTCTTGCAGCATAAGATGTGGGCATATGTGTTATTTGCTAGAGGTGGGGAAGAGAAGAGATGACTGGATAGGCCTTCAAAGTACAGATAGAATTTGTGTGGGTAGAGGGGGGGGGGCGATGAAACTTTCTTTAGCATCAGCTAAAGAAAAAGTAGCAGAAATGTTCAAACAGTGCTGGAGCTCAGTGAGCAATGCCTAACAGAATTACACTCCTTTGGGCCCCTTTTGGGCTTCCCCAGTTCAAGACTCACTGCTTTCCTGAGTCCGTGGAAGTTGCGAGTGCAGGCACGTCATAAATCAGTGTCACCGGGGAAGGGAATCTGCCAAATGGGAAGTTAACACCAGAGGCCACGGGACCATTTCCTAACGCTTCTGGGGAAAACCATGCAAAAGCATTTTCTTTTACAGGTATTATCCATACAGATATTTCAAACTCAACTAGAATAAATTCAAATGCATTGGTATTGAAAGCAGATTTGTACATTGACTCCCACCAATTCATTTTCAAGAGGATGAAACTGCTGTCCGAGGAGGAAACCTAACTGACTTGTCAGGAGTCAATGAGCTGGACCAAAAGGTTGAAAGAACGCTCATGTCTACCCTGATTCCTAGTCACTACTCTTTTCACGGCCCCCAACTCTCTTATACATCTAGGTGTAGGTATTTGTATGACTCGTCTTGAAGGAACTATGTCCAGGCCCTTCTCTCAATTACAAAGTTGCCATCTGCAAGCATCCAGCCTGCAATTCTTTCTAATGCTGTCACTGCTGATATGCTTGTCTGGTATCATTTGCCGCTTCCTCCAGATTCCCACAAAGAATACCTAGTTTCTTATCTCTCAGCAACACAGCTTCCTCCTGTGATCTCTAACCAGACAGTTCTATCCCTCCCTCCCTCATAATATCACTGTGTTCATCTTGTTCCCATATAACACCATAAACATGTCTCTGCAGCAGATATTGGGAGAAAATGAACATGTTCAATTCCCTGGGTCCATGTCCAGTCTGCCACAGCTGAGATTAGCTTAGATGTGCCTTGCATCTTTTCTTTCAGGCTTGAAACCATGTTGCTTTCCCAAGTGAAGAAATTATTCCATTCTCACCCACATTGCTCAGAAAATGCCTGTCATTCTCAGTGGGCGGTAGAGTCCTTAACTCATCCAGGCTTTTTGTTGCCATAACCATAATAGTCATTTATTTATAAACCCTTCTTTGGAATTCTTCAGCATTGAGGATTCTGTTTCCATAGGCTATAGAAGCCAGGTCTGACTTCATGAAGAAGGTACACTAAGAACTGGGCTTTGCAAGTGCAGTGCGTCAAAGGCCGAGGGACAGGAAGATAGAGAGGGAAAAGAACATGAGAAGAACATAAGGTTTAAAATGAGATAAGCAAAAATAAAATAAAATAAAATAAAATGAGATAAGCATTTTCAGGGGGCAAAAGAGAAATTAGCCTATATGTGTCCGATGTATTTTCAAAGATGTGAGCTGAATGTAGAATAGATTCGTATCACAGAGGATGTCGAAACCCAAGTAGAGGTCTCTACCTACCATCTCAACTAGCAAGATTCTGGCACTGCACTAAGCGTTATGGGGGTTCAGCTATAAAACGGCACATCCAGAAGTTTGCAGTACCAGAAGCATCAAATTTTAGGGCATAATGTCCCAGTTGAGAAACTGAGACCAGAGAAAGGGATCGAATTTTCCAAGGTTATACCACTAGCAAGTGGCAGAGTGAAGTGCGGGAGTCACATCTTCCTTCTTTCCTCCTTTCTTTCTTTCCTTCCTTCCCCCCTCCTTCCTTTCTTCCTTCATTCCCTCCTTTCTTCTTCCCTCCTTTCTTCCTGCCCTCCTGTCTTCCTTTCAAATTCCCCTCATTACCAAAAAATTCTTCTTTGTGAGCTGAAGAATTCTAAGAATTCTTGTGATTTAAATGAGGTCCACTTACTCTGGGAATTAAAGACAGTAGTCAAGTCAGCCTTTGACGTTTTCTTCTCTGGACCAACTGACATCAACCTATTCAATATTTTGAAGGTGCAGAACGAGGTAAATAAACACTGATCAAGACATTTTAGATTTCCTAAGTTCTTCTAGTTTCATCCTTTCTTTTATCACCCCACAAGAGCTATGACTAAAGGACAAGTTTTCTCTGTGCCCCCTCTTTGTGGTTTCCCTGCGTCACAAGCTGAATTTACTCATTTAATTGCTGTTCAAAGTCCCAGGCAGTGGACAAAGAGCCAGGTGCTCAGGGTTAACAACAGCTCAGGTTAACTGTCTCTCGTTGGAAAATACTAGGGAATGGGCAGGACCGAAGTGAAAGAATTTAGGTCTAACCACAGTAACTATGCATCATCATTCTTCTCTGGGTATGTTTTGTCTGTAGCAAACAGAGGCATCCAAAACAATTTTATTGCCCTAGGAAGGCACTTTAGGTTCAGGATGGTCCTTCCAAAAATGGCTATGTTAGGGCCTCCATGGTTGCATGCCTCCCTAATGAATTTGTATTGAAGTCTTTGAAGAATAGGAGTCTCTGGAAACCTGAACTCATATTTTTTTTTCCTCCTGCTTTCCCTTACTCCAACAATTAAGAGCACAGCTATGAGGATGGGGCTGTGGAAGGCAGCTCCAGAGAGCAGAGGGATGAGTCGTGAAGAACCCTGGTCAGACTTCTCTGTGTCCAGTGGGTTGAGTGTGGCAGATGGGGGAGAGGCAGGAGGATTGAGCATCCGCTGATTTATGTGCATTAGCCTCAAGGCTTTTTAAGCTCTATTCATTCGGGCAAGATTCTTCCCCTCTTTCTTCTTCTTTCAATAAGTGGCTTGTGTCATCAGAACATATCTTTTGGAAGACACAGAGATGTTGAGCAGGCAGTGTTAAATGAAATATAAATGTATAAATGAACTGAGGAGTTAAATACTAGCTGTGGAGAAGTCCACATTGACAAATTAGAAAGGAATGACTCTGCAGGTCATGACTGCTCATTGTACAAGGCAACATCTCTGCCTGTTTGTTTGTGTTGCGGGATTTTTTTTTCCCAAGAGAAATCTTACGTGGACCCCCTAATATGTAAAAGAGCGGGGGAAACAAACAACAGACTTAGAATGATTCTAGTTGGAGTGACATCCTGGCTGTGGCACCTTGGAAATTTTGTCTAACGTTTGAGATCTGGAAATTCTTCATTTATCTTTATGAAGACCAAATAGAGTGGACTTTATCAATTGTCAATTTAAAGATATTCTAATTTTAGTGGAAGAGTCTGAGAGACAACATTCTTAAGGATTGAAGAAAACTATTTTCTAAGACAGTATGCCAGCCATCGTGAGAAGTAGCAATTCTTTAAGTTAGAAGAACTTTTCAATGTCCCTTAAATCATAAGATGTTTGAAGTTCCAAAATTTGTTGATTTGAAATACTTGCCCTGGTATATGTCAGAGCGTTTGTGGGGGAAGTATGAGGGGCAAAGACAGAGGAAGGGCTGGACAACTCCCCCTACCCTTCTTGAAAGGGCAGAGGGGTCATGCTCCTCCGTGCATTGCTGGGAAGAGGTGGGGGCAGCCCTGGAGTAATTTCTGAACAGAACATGAGGGAGTTATCACTGTATTTCAGCTCTCCGAACAGCATTCCTGGGGACGGGAGGCCCTAAAGTCTGAGCCAGGGCGATGGAGGGCTCTGTGCTGAGCACCACATCCTGGGAGAAACGGCGGGCCTGGCTCCAGCAGAGCCGCCACTGGCAGACCCAGGTCCTGGAGGAAGAGGCTGCAGCTGCCCTGCAAGATGTCTCAGATCCAGAACCTTCCAGCCTGGACGAAGTTTTCCAGGAAGGTAGGAGGCAATTAGACAACAGACAGACTTGCCCATGGTCTCGTGCCAGGGGAAACATGCAAGCAGGCATAGGTCTGCAGAGTGTCCTCAGGGGGTCCCTTGCGGAGTCTGGGTCTTCAAGGAGCCTCATTTTGATGGGTTTAATGCATTTAAAGGAAGAGTAAAGAAACGCAAAATATATAATTTGGGGAGAGAAAGATAGGCATAATATAAGGAAAAATAAAATACATTTTTGCATCATCCCCAGAAGCTCTCTGTAAGGGCCTGAGGTCAGGGTTCTCCTGAATGCCTTGGGGTATTTTTATTTTGTCTGGGCAACAAAATGACACTCAGTTTGGATGCCTGGACTCTTTACCACTCTGCTGTGAGCAAGTTGTGTGACTTTTGGCAAGTCACTTACATCACAAAGACATATTTGTCTGACGGAAGTGGTGGTACCTGAAGTCTGAGTAGGACTTTTCTTTTCCTCCACACCTCTCAGAGCTTCTTTGAGGTTTGAATGAGACTACAAACATTAACGTTAAAAACAAAAACAAAAAACCCTCATATAAATAAACCCATCTGGCAAAAAACAAAAGCACAAACACAAGTTTGTGATTTTTTTGTTGTTGTTACTTTTTTCCCTATTATTTATTTTTTATTTTATTTTAAGGAGAAGGATCCACCCTGTTCCCAAACCCTGGAGAGAAGGGAGCCGTGGGCCTGTCATCCTGGGCATTTTCCAGGTTCTAGGAGGAAGGAGGCGGAAGGCAGAGAGAGAGAGAAGCAGCACCCACTATTTTTATACATGGATGTATTCCTGTCATATCTTAAAGAAAAGTTTTATGGGGGGAAGAGTCTTATGACGTGGCTCACAAAGGATACACTTGCAGAAGGAGATGGGTTGCAGGGAGGAAGTCTGACCTCCCTCAGCTCTCACGGTGATCTGACCTCTGATATTTCCAGGAAATCCAATCAACAAGATTGAAGACTGGTTGCAGGATTGCGGGTAAGTCCTGGGAGGCCCTGGCAGTAAATGCAGCACATGCGTGGAGATGCTTGCTGGTACTGACTCTTCAGAGCTAGGAGACGGGAAACGGGTTTGATTTGGGCCTAAAGATCAAGAGTGAGGTTGAAATGCTGGGGGGGGTGGGGGAGCGGACTGTACAGGTTTGGGTAAGTGTTACCAGTAACTGGGCCTGGGCTGTAAATGAAGTTAACTCCGAGCTAAGACGAAGTTAAGGTGGAGGTCTGGAAATCCAGGCTGGATGTGGTCTAAAGCCCAGAATGATGGAAATGTCTGGGGACTGTCTGGGCTGAGTGGTAGATCCCTATTCCATCACTTCTCCCTCAGACTGGAGTCTTACACCGTGTAACAAAAGAGGAGTTAGAAACCTCATTGTTCTTATGAGCACAGGAATTCATCACTGCGTTTATTTCTACTACAGAACACAGGACGATGGGCTAAGGGTTTATCCCGGTTATTCAAAGTGGTGAAGAACAGGAGCAGGTACTTCAAGACAAAATGCAGTGTCTCCCTCCTCAGAAACACTAAAATATGAGGCCCCACACCCCATCAGTACCATTTTAGGCTCAGTCTACCTAGACACAGAGGGAAAGCTTCTATGCCTTATATAAGTCTGATCATCTATGTGATAATTCTGAGAATTTATAACTCCTGCCTGCTCCTTCTTTCCCCTCCAGGAATGTTTCAAACTTTATATACCCTTTAATCTGAACTCGTCCATTAACACATAAATAAACCCATCCTTGCTTATTTGGCAGGAAATAAATAGTACCAAATTATCTAAGGTTGTTCATTTCAACTCTGCCCCAGAAAGCAATGCCCAAAAGGATTTATTCTGTGTTTTTGTGGGTTTGCAAAACATACTGCCCTTATTGTCCTGACCTGGCTCACAATTCATTGTCTTCACAGTCTGTGAAGGGTCCTCAAAGCTCAGGAAGTGAAGAGATGGTAGAAACTGGAATGTTTGCACATTCTAGTGTGTCACAACTGTCCTAGAATTTGGAATGCCTTACCTGGTATCTACAGGAGAACCAGTCAACTCAGCTAATGCCTTTATGTCATTAATTACTCCTGAGTCAGTTTACATCACTAATGACAGAGCATTTGCTGATGTCTGATTGTCTAAATGGCTTAGAAGGGGGCCAAAGAGTTTAAAATATGCTCCTTGACTTCAAACATACTACATTCTAGCTGAAAAGAATAAATTCACAGGAATACAAGATTCTAAACTCCAGAGATTACCCTTCCCCACTTATATTCCACAGAGATAATCCCTAAACCAAAACATGTACTGAAAAAGTGGTCTGGTGAATCAAAAGGCTCAGAGTTGAGCCTACACTCCTGCAAACTGTGTGAGCACCTGTCAGAAAACAACCAAACTCCTAGCTCAGACGCCTCACCTATAAGGTGGAGATTTAGAATAATAATGTCTCAAAGTTTCTTGTGAGATTTAAATGAGATAATATGTGCACAAGTGTTCTCTGCCTTGTAGTAAAATGTGAGCGGTGAGGTTTATAAAGAAGAGACTTTCTGCTACTTTAAGACAGCTCTGTCTATAGACTTAACATCTGTCTGTCTAAATCTCATTATTTCTCAGAAAAGTATGTCCAGAAATGATACACACCAACTCTAGGACAGTGGTTACCTCTGCGAAGGAAAAAAGTAGGAAGGAATGGGAGTAAAATGAAACTTTAGTTATATTTTAATATTATATTTATATTTTTAACAGAGATCAGAAATGAAAATGACAAAATGTTTACCTGTGTGAAAACAAGGTGGCAAGTGCAAGGGTGTCTGTCACATTTTCTTTCCCTTTCTATGTGTTGAAAAAATGTCAATATTTACACTTTGAAAAGCCCACAGGAAAGTCTCTTAACACATATTTGTCTCTGCAGGGGGGATTTAGGTTCATAAAATATTTCCAATTTTCTCTATTTTCTAACCTTCTCTAATATATATGTAATATTTCTTAGTTATATGGGAAAATTAGAAAAATTAAAGGCTGATGATGGTTGACGATAGCGACAAAACACTGGATTGTGATAATAGATGATGAAGAAGAGGGGGAAATGGCATTGCAGATATGCCATTCTGCGTCACACAGTGTTCAGCTCTTAGGCTGTTGAGACCACAGAAGAAGGAAGATGAACAAGGAGCCTACATTCACTGGACATCTGTCCGCTCTGTTGACAGGTGCCTGCAAGGCGTTTTTCAAATTTTACTTCAAGACTGTATAGTTTCTGTTTTCTTTCCAATGTCAAACAGACATCCTCTGATAGGAAGACAGTTTTGTTTTCTGACGAGCTCTCCAAGAAAGCCCACCAACTTCCTGGGTGATTGAGCATCAGTGTATTGAATCTAGCAGCAGACCATTCTGCTGCAGGTCAAGATCATGTATATTTTTACAAACTCTGCCTATCCTTTTGCTTCCTCCTCTTAAAGCTCTCGGGGGTGGGGGAGGGGGTGTTCCAAGACATGAATGTGCTTCTTGTGAATCATAGGTAGGGTTAGGAGCTCCAAAATCATCTGCATCGACTTTAGCTTAACTCTCTACAAGCAAAGTCTATAGAAATTGCTGGAAGAAGCTAAAAATAGTCACATCCTTCTCAAAATCTGATCTTCCTTCCTACTTTTGCTTATGAATTGGGTATACAGGAGGAGTGGTACATTGGCTCTTATATTTCAGACTTGAAATGATGGCTAAGGGCTCTTTCAGTGGAAGATGGAGAGAGAGGAGCAGCTGAGATCTAGTCCCTAGTCATCAATTTTATGTCCTCAATAATAACCCATGAAAGGCCTGAGACTTGGGTGATGGCCATGACGTTTTAAATCAACTTCAGTTTGATTAGTAGATCCAGGTTCCTATCTGTACTTCTGTGGTAGATTCCACACACACAGCCTGCTCATCCTGGACTGGTCTTCATATAGAGAATATGTACATACCTACCAGGGCACAACTAGAGAAGAGAAATGTACGAGGAACACTGAACAGAAACTTGTATCTAGTGAATAGTACTGAGTTTTGTATGGACAAACCAGAAATTTTACCAGAGGTGTTTTTTTTTTTATTTCAGAAGAAAGCTTTCCTTTATTTTTTAAAAGATTAATTTATGTATTTAAAAGAGAGAACATGAGTTGGGGGAGGGGCATAGGGAGAGAGAGAATCTCAAGCAAACTCCTTACGGAGCACAGAGCTGGAAGCAGGGCTCTATCTCACAACCCTGAGATCATGACCTTAGCCGAAATCAAGAGTCAGACACTTAACCAACTAAGTCACCCAGGCACCCCTGTCAGTGGTATTTTTAGTGTAAATTTTATTGAAGTGTAGCATACGTATCAATAGCGTTTTTCTTATTAATATAGCTGTGGTACAAATCAACAGGTATAAGTTTCAGCTATGCTGGGTGAATTAGTTCTGGAGATCTGTACAACTTGGTGCCCGTGGTTAACAGTGCAGTACTGTGCACTTCAAAATCTATCGAGGGTAGCTCTCATGTTAAATGTTCTTACCTCAGGGGGAAAAAAAAGTCAAAGGGAAGCAAGGAAGTTCTGGAAGATGTTGGATATGTCTGTTACCTTAACTGATAATGGCATCATGGGTGTTTGAATATGTCCTCTTAAGTATACATTTAATATGTACAGATCTTTGTATGTCAGTTATACCTGTTAAAATAATAGCCATGTAAGTTATACTGAAAAATAAAATATTTACTGAAATAATAACTGAAATAATTTACTGAAATAATTTACTGAAATAATACTGAATAAAAATAAACAAGTATTAAATATAGATTCCCATGAATTTTCTTCAAGAGAATACCAAACAGCCATAAAATATGAAGCAGAGCATTACCAGCATTCCAGAAGTCTTCTTCTGGAAGGTCTCCTTCCATTCATTACCCTGCTTCCAAGAGTAACCCATAACCTGACTAATAATATCATAGAAAACTTTTGCACTTTTTAAACCTAGTATAAATAGAATCATACAATATGTGCCCTTGTATTTTTTAATTTTAATTTTTTATTGAAATATAGTTGACTACAATATTATATTAGTTTCAGTTGTACAATATAGTGATTCAACAATTGTATATGTCATGAAATGCTCACCATGATGGGTGTAGTCACTGTCACCACACAAAATTTTTATAATATTATTGACTATATGCCTGATGCTGTACTTTTCATCTCCGTGACTTACATATTTTATAACTGGAAGTTAGTACCTCTTTCAATATGCAGTGTTTCCTGTCTGTTTCTTTTATTCAGCATGATGTTTGTGGTGCTCATCCACATTTCTGCATGCAGCGACAGGTCATTCTTTTTTATTGTTGTGAAGCAGTAAAATGTATATTTATCATACAATTTATCCATTTCACAATATAGATTTGGTGTCTCCCAACTCTGGGTTATAATGAATATTATTTCTTTTCGTGAACAGACATAGGTATTTCTATTGAGTGTAAACAGTGGAATACTAGTGTGTTTCAGTTGTAGTCATAATAACAGTCAGCTTTGGCACTTGCATTAATGTGTAGCTGCAGCCCAAGCATTAAATACAAGAGTAAATCTCAGTATTCTAGTAGTTGACTATATAAGTTATGGGGTTTTTGGAGTAATATTAAAATAAATTTATACTGATATTTTTAATGGTATATAGACTAACATTTATGTTTGTGACATGATCTTAAAATACATTTTTATATAATTATCTGTTAGGAAAAGAAGCACATATATGTAGTTGTAGTTATATTATTAGAACTACTCATTCTTTTTTTTAAGATTTTATTTACTTATTTATTTGACAGAGAGAGACACAGGGAGAGAGGGAGCACAAATGAGAGAGGGGAGTGACAGATGGAGATGCAGGCTTCCTGCTGAGCAGGGAGCCTGATGTGGGGCTCAATCCCAGGACCCTGGAATCATGACCCAAGCCAAAGGCAGACACCCAGCAACTGAGCCATTCAGGTGCCCCTAGAGTTACTCACTCTTAATTAGCTTGGATGTTGTTACATTTTATTTTTTTTTAAGATTTTATTTATTTATTTGACAGACAGAGATCACAAGTAGGCAGAGAGGCAGGCAGGAGGGGGGTGAAGCAGGCTCCCTGCTAAGCAGAGAGCCAGATGCAGGGCTTGATCCCAGAACCCTAGGATCATGACCTGAGCCGAAGGCAGAGTTTTTAACCCACTGAGCCACCCAGATGCCCCTTGTTACACATTTTATAATGTACCTTGATGTACAGTTTTTTTTATGAAGACATAAAAATTCAGATTTTGGAAAATGTAGTTGATTTTTCACTATTGAAAGGAAAGCATCTATAAAAGATGTCTACACATGCAATGATTTATTTTGTAAAAAACACAGCTTGATCTACAGATGTTCAATTAGTAAAACCATTGCTATTATTAAACATTTCATTGAGTGATTATATACTGAGATTACATCCAAAGCATCATGTGCAACTTCCTTTTTAAAAACTTTCAGGACTTTTCAGTCCTTGAAGCAGACTTAGATAATGACCACAGATAGGCATCCAAGTCCCCCTGTTGGGTATTTGAGAACGCAACAGCAGCCAGGAAGCAGGAATGCAAGCCAGGCGCTGTGGTCCCAGTTCACCACTTTTCATAGACTGCTTCACTCACCTGCTTTATACACAGAATTCTTCCTTGTCTGTAAAACTGAGTTGTTTCTCGCCACCATGTATGCTGATTTCTGTCTGTTCCTCTTGTGGAGTTGGTAGAAGTTTGATAAGACCCTATCTTAAAATGTAAAATTAAAATCTGTAACCAAGATGCAGTTTCTGCTGCTTCCTGAGAGATATGATCATCATCAAGAACCTGGCTCAGAGAAAAGGAAGAAGGTGTGGGGAGCTAAGCTGACCTCCTAGAAGTTGAAAAATATCAGTATTTGTATCTGTGATGGCTCCCAACCCTCTGCTTTTTATAAATGTATCTCTCTGGTTTTGCTTCTATATTCAGTCTTTCCTATTTTACCAAGCATGTGCAGACTTGTTGCTCACCACGCTGACTGTGGACAGTGCAGTCGGTGCAATGGCAGCCCACTCTACAGCACGTACACACATACACAAAGACAGTACGGTGCGGCACAAAATCCAATGATCTCCAGTCCTACTTCCCCTGGCCACTTTGGAGAACTTGTCAAGGGACTCCTCTTAGTTTGCTTCAACCTAAAAGCAATTAAATACTGCTTAATCTCATTAGGAAATTATGAGAACTAATGGGACACATTTGAGGAAAAGTCCCTTGGAAAATGTATGATTTCAACCTATAAGATTGTTTTTGGTCCTCAGATACTCTGAAGAAGGGTTTTTTGAGGAAACAGGACAGTCAAGCTACAATGGTGAGTACAGGCTCTGTTCTTTCTCCTGCTGTTCTTCTACCAGGATAGTAACATGGCTGTGTGTGTGTGTGTGTGTGTGTGTGTGTGTGTGTGTATGTTTATGCACATGCACTTGCATATGCAGGCATAAGAATGCTGGCTGTGCTTTAATTGCCTGTCTATTGGTGGTCACAAGGCAATCCAGGAGATCCAAATGAGGGAGTAAATGTTGGCTCAGAGCTGACAGGCTAACTAGCACTAAAGATTATCTGCCATCAGTGGTTGCTCAGCTAACAACCACTGCTATGGGAAAAGAGTTTTATAAGATGTGTGTGAGTACATGCTTCCATGTGCTCACTATCTGACAGAGGATTGTATACATGACTATATGATATAGGGGACAGGTTAATTACAGGTGATTGTTTATGTCTTTCTTTTTCTGTTTATGTCTTTCTAAATCAAAATATGAATGTGACTTCTGAGGTAGTACATGTAGAGCTGGGGGAAATTTTGCAAATGTGATGTATGACATGATTATGTGGTTACAGATGTTCATATGTACAGGTGTGTGTGTGTGGTGTGTGGGGGGTGCGTGTGTGTGTGTGTGCGCGCACACGCGCAGGCCTATTTTCTCTGACTTTTGCCTTATTTAACAGGGTGCCTCAGCCACGGAACCAGCTTTGAAGATGACTTGACCCTAGGAGCAGAAGGTAAGTGGCACAGCCCTCTGATGTTGGAATCAAGGAAGGGGATATATAAGAGATGAATTCAGGGTAGAACGAAAGGGAATAGCTGTAGAAAGAAACAACCTATTCCCTGGGGTCTTACCTGTGGGGAAAGAGCAGTCTCATTATGAACTAATATTAAAACTCATTAAGCTTCATGTGCCCAGAAATACTTCTTCACCAGCCTGACATGACATCTACCAGTCCATCATTAGGGCTCTCATCTGTCCCCTGGGAGGACAACATATAAAATCACCATAACGTTGGCTGCCCAGACATCTTTAAAACTGTTGTCTGTATAGGAAACCCAAAGCAGCCTGAACAGTGGGTATAAGTAGGAGACTACACTGAAGGAGAGAAGAACTTGAATAATGGATGGAGATGTGGCAACCTACCAGTGTCTCCTGAGACCTGTGGAGACTCATGATGTGAGGCAGGAACACTAGCCTGAAGGGCTGAATGATGTTCTCTTCCTCAGAACAGAGAAACTCTTGCCTCAACACCAGTCATGGTATATAATTCAGAGGCTCTGGACCATTTCCTCCCTGCTATATCTGCCCCCCTTCCTGGTCTATGTTTGATGAACTTTAGATACCCCACAAAGAGCAGAGTTCATGGGATTCAGCTAGCCTGTAGTAGTGGCAGAGGGGAGTGAAGGGGACTGAGTGTTAATTACAGAGAGGCAGCTTAGGTGATTTTCATTTTCCTTTCTAACTTTCTCTTTGCCTTTCTGTTCCTTGTGCAGCCACACTATTGGCCACCGAAGGCAGGGTCTTCTCCAGGTAAGTGTTAGGTTCCCCCAGACTGAATGATGTCTTCTTCAGGAGCTAATGAACTGGTGTAGATGGCAGAGACAAAGAGATGAAAAAGAAAGAGCCCAAGAGTCACAAGAGAGAGTGAGATTTCCCAACCAGGAATGAGGCCCTAGACTGAGCTTTCCCAGTAGACGATAGAAGGCACCCAGCAGGGAATAAATATGCCGAGCAGAACATGTCTTGGATCCAGGATGCAGACTGCTTACAAGCTTACAGTGACATCAACTCTGATCCCTGCAGGAGTTTCCTGGACCCAGTCCGGCCCTGCCAACTCCTTGATCTTGGCTGCAGCTTGGCCTCCAGCAGCATGACGGGTGGCACCAACAAGACTAGTTCAAGGTAGGTATTGGGTCTGGCAGGGGTGTAAGGGTGGGAAAGAGGAGAGGCCCAAGAGAATGGAACCAAGAACCTGGTCCATTTTTTCTGGGATATCTTACTGGAGGTTTTATGCACTCACATACTTGAAAAATATGGCTATATTTACTTCAAGAACACTGAGGCATGTAGAGGAATCTACTGCTCAGAGCTGGATGCTCTGTAAAATAAAGGTGACATGAGGTGTAGCATGGGGGTAATCACAGTCCCTGGACTTATAGTAAGTACTCAATCAACAATTAATGAAGGTATTGATTGGTTGGTTGATTGAATGAAACAATAAAATATTAATTCACTCGGGCAATCTCCTATCCCCCAATGCAGGCCAGGCATAACTACGTGGAATTAGAGAAGACGAAGCAAAGTGCTTGCCCCCAGGAGCTCAACAATCAAAAAGAGTGAACAAAAGGCACACACAAAGAACTTTTAAAAAGATAGAAAGTGATGAAAACTAATGTGGTATAATAAAAAGTATTTGGAATTTGGTGTCAAAGTTTGAATCTGAGAACCGGTCCTTGGATTTATTAGCCATGGAACTATCAGTAGTGATTTGTCTTTACTGAGCTACAGCCCTGGCCAGACCCCACTTCAATTATGTCAGAATCTCTGGAGATAAGACTCTGATATCTGCACGTTTTTATCGAAGTACACTTGACATACAAAGTTATAGTCATTTCGGGTGTACAACATAGTGATTCAACAATTGTGTACATTATGCTGTGCTCACCATGGTGAAGGTAGTCACCATCTGTCACATACCATGTTATTACGGTATTACTGACTATATGTCTTATCCTTGTCATCCCGATGACTTACGTCTGTAGAATGGGTAGTTACTGAGTTCTCGTGTCACCCAGCTTGGTGGCACACAGATTTGGATGTAGGTACATGTGAGTGCCATTGCAAGAGATAGAGAACTTGATCTTCTGTAATGCAGGGCTTCTGTCCTGAAAATAGTGCTACAAAAGGGTCAACCTCTCAAAATCATGTTTTGAACATACCTGCATTGGTTATTTTTTACCCTCAGGGTAACAAAAGGGTTTTGTGTTTCTTACATACTTCCTGCCTTGTTGTCCCACACAGCCATGAGGTGAAGCTGGGGAGCAAGCTGCAAAGCTCTAGGCAAAAGCCAGCCAAACCATAGTGTGTGCAGGTGGGAAGGGATTGATTAATAACATAACCACAAGATTTCTTGAACTCTAGTATGCTTTTGATTTTTTAAATCCTTCTCATAGCACATTTTCATTCATCTATCATGGTGTTTAAAGTACTGCAATGGGGGTGCCTGTGTGCCTCAGTTGGTTAATCGTCTGCCTCTGGCTCAGGCCAGGGTCCTTGGATCAAGCCCCGTGACCCACTCCCTGCTTGCCAGAGTATTTGCTTCTCGCTCTCCCACTACCTCTCCCCCCACTCGTGCTCTCACTTGCTCTGTCTCTCTCCCTCCCTCAAATAAATAAAATCTTTTTAAAAATCAAGTACTGTGATAGAATCTAATCCAATTTTTAAACCAAGGCTGGATTGTAATTCCATGTTTCACACAGAAAATGTGTGTTCGCAGAAGTGAAAGTTTTTCTCAAAGTCAGTATGGAAGGTAGAGAAATGATCGGTAGCTCAGTCTCCTAACACATTTATTAAATACTCTGGATGACCGTGTAACTCAAAGTTGCCCCTATTTACCAAACTCCTTCTTTTCAGCGTCTCTGAGATTCTGGACAAGGTGCAAGAAGATGCAGAGGATGTCCTCTTCAGTCTGGGCTTTGCCCAAGAGGACCACAAGGACACTTCGCGGATTCCTGCCCGATTTTTCACCACCCCCTCTCAGGCCAGAGGCATTGATTTCCAGCTTTTCCTGAAGGCCCAGGTGCAGAGGATAGAGATGGAGGACCCTTGCCTCATGCTGGCCAGTGAGTGTTCCCATGGATCTGTTCTACTTCTCTGCCATTCACAAAAGGGATCAGTGGCTCCAGATCCTGCTTTCTCTCAGTCAGCTTCACTCCACCCTTTGTCTTCTGTGTCTATTTCTCGGCCTCCTTTTCAGTGAAGATGGAGAACTTTGATGTCTGCTTATTCCTCTTAAAGAAATAGTCATCAAGAGACCTCATATCACTACTGCTTTCTTAGGCTTTCTCTCCTTCAGCTGAATCAAATGAGAACCGTGTCTTTAAGTCTTATCCTTGTTTTTTTTTCTTTTTTTTAATTTATTTTCAGCATAACAGTATTCATTGTTTTTGTACCACACCCAGTGCTCCATGCAATCCGTGCCCTCTCTAATACCCACCTCCTGGTTCCCCCAACCTCCCACCCCTCCACCTCTTCAAACCCTTCAGATTGTTTTTCAGAGTCCTTGTTTTTATTTCTCGGTTGCAACAGTAGAATGTTCCCTTTTTACAGCCACTTTATTAAAATCATTTCCTTTTAGAGCAATAATCTCAAAGTTCTCAAAGGTAGATATGTTAAATTGTCAAGGGACTTTATAAAACATTCAAATTCATAGGCTTTTTTTTTTTTTTCCATAAAGGGAAAGGCTCAGGAGTATTTATTTTAAACAAGCACATGGGATTCTAATGTATAATCTTTAGAACACATCCAGGGAAACAATTATTTAAGTTGTTCTGATTTCATATTAAGGAAAGATATGAGAGGGTTTCTCTACTTGGATGAGGCATAAAAGACTCTATTTTATTATATATATTAGAATATGTTTCAAATTATATTCTGCTACACCCCCAATATGATTGCATTTCTGACAGTATTGTTTCAGATTCTTTGCATCAGATTCAACTCAAAATAAGCTTGGTAAAACCACGCTCCTGAGCTCTACCTGTTGCAACAAAGATTTTGAGTTAGAGTATCTTCACAACCTTAGATGATTCTTATGCACACTATTAGAATATAATTGATTGAATTTATTTTATGTACTATGCACATAATTAGGTGTTAAATTCTGGAAAAATGGACTAGGCAAGAGATACACAATTCTTAAGCCTTTTGGAAGCCTACAGTTTAAGAGATGTGTGGCTTATCATAGTGTTTTTCAAACATGGATGTCCATATGAATTACCAAAAGGTATTGTTAAAATGCTTGAGATAGAGTCTGAGATTCTACATTTATAACAAGCTCCCAACTAGTGCCAATGCTTCTGGACTATGACCACACTTTGTGAAGCAACATCTAACAGAATGATAAAGTCGCAAGTGTGAGCCCCACGTTGGGCATAATGTTTACTTTTTTAAAAATGGTATCAGAAGTTCTGTACCCTAGTCTATTGGCTAGTAATTGTCATTATTCCAATTTGTTTATACTCTGAAGCATTCTAGAACCCTGAAGTTTTGTCATTGTCTAAGAAAATGAGATTGGTTTTGTCCTTTATTTTGGTCATGTTTGTCATCTAAAGCAAACAGTAATTGAAGCCATTATTTAGAACATACTGACAGCAGAAAGGATATGTGAAATCAAGATATAGAAAACTTCCCCATCCCATATAGAATTAATTTTTGGACTGAAGGAAAATATCTATTCAGATGGGGAGTCAAGAAGTCAAGAAAGTCAACAAAGGGGATCCTGAGTATGAGAAATCTAAATGGGAAAAACACTGGTGGGGAAAATGGCATCTTCCTTCTGAATTTTGAGCCTTAAGAAGGCTTTGAAGGAAGAGATACAAGAGATAATTTGCTGATGACCCCCAGATTCACCATCTTCAACCCTTGTGTCCAGGCAGGTTTAAGCAGGTGCAAACACTGGCTGTCACTGCTGATGCCTTCTTCTGTCTCTACTCCTATGTGTCTAAGACACCTGTCCAAAAGTTCACACCATCCCACATGTTCTGGAATTACAATCCAACTGATGTGCCATCCATCAGGATTCTGGCTCCAGAACCTGAACCTCAGTCACCCAGAGACCGCCTCCGGAAAGCCATCTCCAAGATGTGCCTGTATACAAGCCCCCGAGATCGGCTGTCACCACCCCATAATATCCCCAAAAGGAACAGTCTGGACCAAGTGGTGTGGGAAGTAATGGACAGAGTGAGAGGAGAGAAAATGGTCTTCCAGCAAGACCCTGGATTTGAGCCAGGCTCAGAGGAAGATCCGGTGCCACTCATCAGGGATACAAAGCTACCCACTTTTTCCGGACCATGTGCTCTTTGCCCCAGAGAGGAAACACAGCAGGGAATGTCCACAATGCAAGCACCATCACAAATTCTGGATCCTAAACCAGAGGCAACCCCTTGCATGCATTCTCTGCCCTTACAGCCGAGCACAGACCCTGCACAGGTAAAAAGAGAGCCATGGGGTCTACAGGCCACCAATAAGGAAGTCCATTTGGCCAAGGATGAGACTTTATGGAGAAGAAAGAGCAGAGCAAAAAAGAGCTTGTTTCAGAAGAATCCCATGAGCAGGAGAGTTAAGTCATTGGACCTGTCCATCATGCAGCAGAGCCAAGAGCAACCAGCATGGTACCAGTCTCTAACCCAGCAGCTACAGGACACTTGTGACTTGGATGAGGCAAGTGAGTTGGGGGCAAGAGAGAGGCTGGCAGAGAAAGGTTCTGGATTCTTGCCTTTCAGTAAAGGGAATCCAGGCTCCCTGTCCTCACCAGATATACCAACTCTTGAATTACATTCCAAAAACTTTGGGAACCAGTTAATAGAGAAGAAGAAAGATAAATGGGCTTGATTTCTTAAGATCATCCAGGTTTTCAGAGCTTTTCTAATTCCTCATCTGATCTGATCTTCACTGAAGTTCCTCATCAAGCACACCTGGCTCTATCATTTGTGGGATCTGCACCAGAATACACATAGAGGCTAGTTATACACTAAGCTAAACACTAGTAAATAAAATATGCTCTCTTCTACCTTAATAAATTTGTAACCATAAAGACCTGGAGGTCCAGGTTCAAAGTTAATATTCTCAGATTCTTAGGACTTCTGTGCTAGAACATGGCAGTGTGGGCAGAGCCACTCCCCAGCTCTGGCCTATCCCCTTCTCTTCCCAGGCCCAGATCTATCCTAGACCTTAAGGGATTTCACACATAGATGTATGAGCACCTGGCCTACAGATCCAAAAACCACATAACCTCTACCCACACAAATAGCCATCTGTTGGTCATCACTTGTTCCTGGGGATGCATACACTAGGAGAGAGGGTGACCTTTAAGACAACAGACACCAGGCAAAACCAGTGCAATTCCCTGGAGCAGACTTGGGGGCATCTGAACAGTATATCCAGGTATCCTATGGAACCAGAGCATGTTCTAGAAGAGGCAGTGCAGGATGAGATGGGTACATCCTTTTGGTCCACCAACTCTTCATCCTGTGGACTCTCAAAAACTCAAGACTCCTCTTGTCTGGGACTCTAGACAGTACCGCTATCAAGAGCTGACCTCTCTTGAGAAAGCTCTCAGATCCTTGCCACAAGAGAAGCTGTGATGATTTGCAATATTGTTTGTATATGTGTCACCTGTCATTGGACACAGAGCTGCATCTCAACTCCTGCCTTCCTCACTACTGCGTTCCTGCAACAAGAGAAGAAGCCGAGTCTCTCAAGTATACTCAGCCTCTTTCCCCTATGGCCACCTGCCATCTGACACCTCTCCCCACTGGCTCTTAGTTCTGCTGGGATCTTGAATGTTTTGGCAAAAAAAAAAAAAATCTGTTATTTAAACCAAGGATAAATGAGGCACCTACTCCCTAGTACCAGAGAGAAGATGGCATCAGGAATTAATTAATTAATTAAATGATTTTTCTAAGGTAGTAGAAATTGATATCCTTCTTGAATCAAATCAATGAGTCTTGCTTAGAGTTCTCTCCATTTCAAATCCCTTAATTTACTGCACATCTTGGCCCAATAGTTATTTTTGGTCAATACCCTAAATTTGTAGTGTTACTTTGTCCAGAATCACAAAGACCTTTATACTTCTAACTCTTTTAATTTTCATTCTCTGTGACTTTAGGGCCACAGTCACTCTTCTTTCTCTCTTACTCATTACTTTCTTCCCCAGGTATGTAAATTATATGTATACAGTAATTACTCACAAAAGAAGTAAATATCAGAAGGCAGCAATACATCATATACAGCTGGGAAAGTTTAGGATATGGAGTCAAATGACCGACCCTATATAATTCTCCATGATCTTGCAAAAATCACTTGACTTTAATTTTATCTAATGTAATAGGAGAATAATTATATACATATATATGTATATAATTATATATATGTGTGTGTGTGTGTGTGTGTGTGTATACATATATATGAACTAGGCATTTATGTAGAGATTCAATATATTACAGGGAGGGTGTGAAGGTAATATAACATAGCTACTGCTGATTTTAGAAAAGGTAATCATGGGCATAAAATATTTAGATCAGTGATTCTCGATCCTACAAGATTTTTTAATTGCTATTTTCAATAGACTTAAATGCAAATCTCTGAGGTTTGGATTTGGGCATCATCGTTTCTTCTTCTCTTAAAACTTTCCTACTGCTGCATAGCAAACTACCCAAAATGCAATGGTTTAAAGAAAAAGTTATTTATTTTTTGTCACTATTTTGTGGGTTTACCAGACGGTTCTTCTGCTCTTCTAACCTGGATTCTCTTATGTAGCTGTTTTTGGCTATTTGGCTGGCCTCTACCAAAAGGTCAAAATGGGTTCCCTCATATATCTAGAACGTTGGTGTTGACCGGCAGGGGGCGCTCTCTCCGTGTGCCGTGTCATTCCTTGCCAGTCTGGCTTGTTTCACGCGGATGTTCAGCAAAAACTGAAATTGCAATGCTTCCTTTTAGGGATGTGTTGCAAGTTTCACAATGTCCCCCCTACCACATTACTGGTTAAATCAAGTCACAAGGGCGCCTGGGTGGCTCAGTGGGTTAAAGCCTCTGCCTTCAGCTCAGGTCATGATCTCAGGGTCCTGGGATCGAGTCCCGCATCGGGCTCTCTGCTCAGCGGGGAGCCTGCTTCCTCCTCTCTCTGCCTGCCTCTCTGCCTACTTGTGATCTGTCTCTGTCAAAGAAATAAATAAAATAAAATAAAATAATTTAAATCAAGTCACAAGGCCAACCGAGATTCAAAGGGAAGGAAAACAGACTACGTTTTAACAGGATTGGCAAGGTCACAATGCAAAAAGCCATGTGGAATGGGAGGGTTGTTGTGCCATCTTATAAATGTCCATCACATTGACTCCGGTGCACCATGAGGGTGAAGAATAACTGCTTTAGGGACACATGGGTGGCTCGGGTGGTTAAGCATCTGCTTTTGGCTCAGATCATGATCCCAGAGTTCCTGGGATCAAGCCCCCATGTCAGGCTCCCTGCTCAGTGGGGAGTCTGCTTCTCCATCTCCCTCTGACCCTCCCCCTGCTCTTCTCTCTCATTCTCTCTGCTTTAATCATTCTCTCCGTTTTAATATCCTCATATATTAAAGACGCACTGAGGGTAAGCTTTCTTGCTACAGCTCATTCAGACTCAGCCACAGTGTATAAACTTGAAAAGGAAATTAACCGGTAGGCTTATCAAATTAAAATAGAAAATGTGGAGTATATGCTCCACAGCTAGGTTACTTTGCCAATAACCTAATTTACTCTAAAATGCAAAGCTTTGCTCAGGTGTTATTTGTCCAGCAGATGTCAGCCTCGCACAAGAAAATGCCAAGATGTCCAGTAGAGCAGGCTGGGTGCAGGACCTATCAGGTCCTTTCTGGGCAATATCCAGGACACCAGTTCCTCTCACACAGCTGCCCCACCTTTGGCCAACTGCCAATGTACAGAAAGATTGGAACTGAATTGCCAGGGAGAAAGTATTGCTAGGAGCTATATATTTCAGATAAGGAACTAGATTCCATTTTCCTCCAGGGTTATGGGATCTCATCACAGCACAAGAGATTGTGGTTAGAAATGCTGTGTCTCATTTATTCTAAGGTGTGCATTTTCCCACATTTTAATATCTCTGAGACAGAATGAGTCTTAACAATTGGCAATGTCAGCCAAGGTCTCTTTTTTACCTCCATAGTGAAATATTAAATAATTCAGTCTTGCAAAAATGGTTTATCAGATTCAATAAAACACTGTAACTTTAGAAATTAAATGTACTTATTCTCTCAGGTAAATGAGAAAATTATTTTGCAGATTTCCCTTCTATGATTCCCTAGAAGACTAAGGGATTGCTTCTTCACTAACACAGTCTTTGGCTGAGACAGGGGGTCACAGAGGTTTCCAAATCCTTCAGATATTCCATACATTTGTTTAATCATCTTTTCTCAAAGCTATGAATTATCTCTCTCAATCCACTCCTCTATCATCATTTAAGAGATCACAAAAAGGGGGGAATACCTATGAAAGCACCTCAGGACTACCAAGATGAAAGGCTATGTGATAAATAGGGAAGGGGGAAATTCACTCACTACCATCAAAGGCCAAGCGAGCTGGGGCAGTTCCTCTGATGGGATGAGAAACAAGTCCTCTCTGCCTCCTCCAAGGTCTGAAATTATCTCCTGGGGATTAATGATCTTCCAGAAGCTCTGTAGCAAGCACCAACGTTCACCTACAACTTGTCACCAGGTGTGAGCGTGGGTGGGAAGGAGTAGCAGACCTCAGACAGCCATGGTGTCCAGATGTATAGTCTTCATGTTGCACAAAGACACTCAAAGAGACAAAGGAGATCAAAATTCAGCTCTGCTATGCTTACCATCCAAAATCTCAAAGGTCTTCATCTTCTAAGAGGGAGTTCCTTTTTTTTTTTCCTAGCTCATCTACATAAGGTGAGTGCCTTTCTGCAATTAAAACAAGGGCACCTTCTGTTAAAAGTGGATCTCATCCCCAGCTGTCAGTTTTCGTCCCTTCCACTCTCTCATTTAGTCTCTGCCAGAGAAGAAGTCCTAATCTTCCCCCCAGATCCTAGGAAAGGATGACCCTCATCGTTCCTCATAGTTTACATCGTATTCAAAAATACCGGATGCACAGCCCTTTCTCTTAGTGCCCCACTGCTGAAATGTAAGCTGTTTGACCTTTATCAAGTTTATAAGAAGCAGGCCTAATGTTTTATTTTTTGTTATTGTTTGTTTCCTTTACAAGATCTGAGGTATCACAGACTAATATATGTAATCTTTTTGCAAAGTGATCATATCTAGAGATGGGAGTTGCATTTTCTAGGCAGCTCTGCCGGGGGCAGTGGGAGGAAACAGGCAGGATTAGGCAGGGAGGCCAGTGCAGAACATAGGATAAAGAAGAAAACTAGTCCTAGATGGTCCCAAATGGCAAGTAATTCAAAGCTATTAGTTGGTACTTAGTGGAACCTATATGAACCAGGTAGCTATAGACTTGCTCTTTGCTGTAAGATTTACCCATGTGACAATATTAACCACAAATATTTCTATATAGTGCTTACTATAAGTCAGGCATAAGCCTTAGCACTATGTGGAAATTAAATCATTTAATCCAATGATATAGCTTTTTTATTGTTCTCCATTTTGTAGATGATCACACTGGGCACAGTTATTTTTATACCAAAATAAATTCTGAAGAGAGACTATCAGATAGAAGGTTTAGGGAGAGATGGGGGAAGGGAGAGGAGAAGGCAAGAGGATATCATGAGAATGTGACAATTATTTTTCTGCCTCACTTGCAATTCTTACCAAGTTATTTTGCATCTATTGGGGAAATATAATTAAACACAAAATCTTCTGGGGCACCTGGGTGGTTCAGTTGGTTAAGCATCTGACTCTTGATCTTGGCTCAGTTCTCAATCTTAGGGTCATGAGTTCAAGCCCTGCTCTGGGCTCCATGCTGGGTGTGGAGCCTACTTTAAAAAAAAAAAAAATAAGTTCTAAAAACAAAATATTCTGCCATTGCAGAAAACCTCTCCAGAAAAGTATAAGAAAAAGAAAAGGGTTTTTATTTTTTAATATGATGTGTGTCAGAGGCCATCCGCTAAAGAGACAGAAGGAAATCCCACTCTCTTCTAGAAGCATGCAGATAAAACCCCTTACATTCATACAATCACTGGTCCTCAAGGAAGAGAACACTGCAGGACCATTTGTCACACACAGTTCGTTCTAAATGCACCCTGGAACTAGAATGGCCAACTGTGTTAGCTAATTGCCTTTATCGAAAGGAATAGTAAGACTTCTCATATCTTCATGACAGAGGTGGTTTTGCCAGTGTGAGCCAGGCACCTAAGTTAGACTCCTACCCTTTCATGGGGACTGAGAGATAGAGGCACAAGGGACTTTGATGATTGCATTTCAAAGCAATGGCTTCCATAATCCTTGAAAAAGGCATTCCAGGGTGGTAAAGGTGGCAAGAGGCTTATTTTGTGTTTTAAAAAGATTTATATACATTTCAAAGAGACAAAGAACTTAGAAGTTTTCTAAAGAAACACACTTTCAGAAAAGGAGGGGGGAGCCTTTTCTAGGACAGGGAAAATTAAGCCTCTTATTTTAAAATTGTATTTGTCATCGCACCTGTGTGTGCGTCTTTCTTCTTCCTTGGCCTTCCCTTTACTTATACTGCCCCTTTCTGCTTTGGAGCTGTGGAAGGTAGAAGGATCATCTCTACCTGCATAACACCCATTTTCTGTGTTACATTTCAAATGTTTTGGTTGATTTCCAAAATATATCCAAGACTGTCAAGCCACACGACTTCAGGTGTCAACATGCAAGTGGCCTGCAGTGCAAACATGGTTCCTGGAGTTGTGCTGAGCAGAGGCCCCGTCTGCCTTCACAATACCCTACCTAGCCCTCATGATAGCACTTTCAGAGTTGTTACCTCATGTCAGTCTTTTAATCATATAGACTAGATGAGAAAAAAAATTACTTAGCAAGATCACGTAACTAGTCAGTTAAAATGCAGATCTCCTGACTCCCAAACCCGCGCTCTTTTCATCAGAACACACTGCCCTGAGTGTGCAAGAGTTTGGGCTGTAGCTGTGGATCAGAGCAAGCCTCGAAACGTGTACTTGAAACTGACCATCATTAACTATGTGCCCTAAGCCTTTGCACTAAGTGCCAATACCCTCTTGCCACCCTTGGATTTTGCTTGCCTTCTTAGAAACTCACTGACAAGAGGAATGTTATACAGATTGAGCTGGAATGCTCACAGTTTAGCAAAAGACATGACAAGGAAAATCAACAATTACTTGTATTGAATATCATTAAATGCCACAGGGACATAGGAAAATGAACTTCCCAGAGGATATGTCCAGATGAATCTGGACACATGAAGAAAGGTCCAACA